GTGAGACATGATATTGAGAAAGGCAGAGGGTTGGCAAAGGAGAGGAAGACTCTCAACCAGGAGGACTGGCAAAGTGACTGCTGCAGTGGGCTGTTGTGTGTCACAAAGTGTGAGGATGGAGCAGGACAGGACTAGGTTCAGATCTTTTGTTCATATGGTCACTGAGTCGAACTCGACTCAATGGCACCTAACAACAACATTGGGATTGCATTTAAAATGTAGATTGCTTTTGGTAGGATTATCATTTTCACTATATTTAGTATTCCTATTTATGAACAGAGAAAGTTTTTCATTTATTTAGATCTTTTATTGTTTCTCACAGTAATGTTTTCTGGTTTTCTTTATATAGGTCTTTGTGTCTATCGTTAAGTTTATTCTTAAGTATCTTAATTTGTGGTTGGTTATTACAAACAGTATTGCTTTCTTATTTTCCTTCTTGTTTTGTTACTGTGGAGGAATTCCACTGTCTTTTGTATATTGATCTTGTATCTTGCTGCTCTACTAAACTGACAGCTCCAAGAGTTTGTTTACTTCTAGGGGTTTTCTTTGTACACTATCATCTCATCTGTATAAAGAGAAAATTTAAGCACCTATTTGCCTATCTGGATACATTTTATTCCCTTCTCTTGTTGCATTGCCTAGCAAATATTTCCAGTACAATATTGAATAGGAGTTGTGACAGTGGACATCCTGTTCACAAGAATACTTTTAATCTTTCTCCATTGAAAATGAGATTGGCTCTTGGTTTTGTGTTTATGCTTTTCACAATGTTAAGAAAATTCCCTTATCAGGAAGGGGTGTTGGATTTTATCAAAAGCTTTTTCTGTATTAATTGATAGGATTATTTGATTCTTGTTATTTGTTTTATTAATATGATGGATTATGTTGGTTGTTTTTCTTATGTTGAACCAACCTTGCATACCTATTAAGAATCACACTTTGTAATGATGAATTATTTTTTTTTATGTTCTGTTGCCTTCTATTGATTTTGTTAAGGATTTTTGCATCTATATTCATGAGAGATATTGACATGTAGTTTTCTTTTTTGGTAGTATCTTTGTCTAGTTTTGATATTAGGGTTATTCTTATGTTTTATAAAGACTCTAGGAGTATTACTTCTCTTTCTAATAGTTCAAATAATTTAAGTAGAATTGATGCTAGAGCTACTCTGAAAGTCTTTCTCATTTTAAGGATTTCTCTTAGACTTCATTTTCTCATCCCTTCTAAGAAATTCTTGTTCACAAGAGTATGAAAGCAGAAAGGGGCTCACTGTACTGATCTTTAGGAGGTAATTCAGGGTCAGGACAGAGATTGAATCAGGGTTGAGGGGAACCTAAGGAAAGAGGGGGTAAATAATGTATATACTGCATTGAAACAGATGAAGAGAACGGTTTAAAAGGAATCTAGGATTAGATATTATTTTCATGACAAGATTACAGAAAAGAAGTGCATAGTAAAGTGGATTGTGGACATGAGGGAGGATTGTAAAACAATGAATTTTTTTTTCTTTTCAAGGAAAAAAATGAACTGGGGGGAGGGTGGGAAGGGAGGAAAATATGCAACAATGAATGATTGGAGAAAATGAATGGAAAGAATATGCGGTAAAAATATATATATGTTGTATTAAAAACCATTAATAAAAAAATGAAGGAAAAAAAAGAAATGGGTGCAGAGTTTATTGAGGAAGTTTAATGAAAACAAAAAGCAGCATCAGATTCTTCAGCATATAGACTTTCTTTTTCATGTGACCTGTCTACCTTCTAATAGGATATAGCTAGAGAATAGGAATAAGAGAGATATTTGACAAATACTGATAATGAATATGCTAACCAAGTACCTTTTCTTTTTTATACCATAAAAATAGAAGGAACATTAGTTCAGCTTTTCAAGGTCTGGCTTATTTAGGCGTAGTAAAACCAACAATTAATAACCTGAAAAAGAGTTTGGTGTGACGTTTAGTTTTATGTGTCGTTTAGGCTATAGCAAACTAGTATTTAATCATACGCTAATTTTGTGTTGCTAGGGAGATATTTTATATGTATGTTAAACAAATTCACCAAAGATGTAATTAATTTTAAATTAATTTACTTTTTAAAAATTAAGTAAAGGAGCCTTCAGTATGGACTGAGACTCAATATCAAGAAGACAAAGATTCTCACCACTGGACCAATCGGTAGCATCAGGATGGATGGCGAAGAGATTGAGATTGTTCACAACTTCAGTTTGCTCGGCTCCACGGTCAACACTCTTGGCACCAGCAGCCAGGAAATAAAAAAAGTATTATGATGGGAAAGTCTGCTGTTAGGGACCTCTCTAAAGTGCTCAAGAGCAACGGTGTCTCTCTGGAGACTAAGGTGAGCCTGATACAGGCCATGGTCTTTGCAATCACTTGTTATGCATCAGAGAGTTGGACAATGACTAGAGAAGATAGAAGAATTGGTACCTTTGAGCTGTGGTGCTGGAGAAGAGGTGTTGAATGTACCATGTACTGCCAAGAAAACAAACAGATTCATCCTAGAGAGGGTTAAACCAGGCTACTTCTTGGAGGCAAGGATTCTGGGGCTTCGTCTGACATACTTTGGACATGTTGTAAGGAGAGACAGGTCCTTGGAGAGGGACATCATGCTTGGGAGGGTAGAGGGACAGCGCAGGAGGGGAAGACCCTCTATGAGTGGACTGATTCAGTGACTGGGGTAATCGGGGTGGGTGTGTCAGAGGCAATGCAATTGGCACAAGATAGAGCAGGGTTTAGGGCTGTTGTACATAGGGTCGCCATGAGTCGCAAATGACTCGACGGCACATAGCAGCAGCAACAACAACAACAACAACAACAAAACGAGACTAAACCCATACCCTTGCTATCAACTTGATTCCAATGCACAGCAGTGACCCAATAGAACAGAGTAGTAAAATAAAAAAAAAAAAAAAGAACAGAGTAGTCCCATAGAGTTTCCAAGGGTATAAAATTTTACAGAAGCATCCACATCTTTCTCCTGCAAAGGTTCTGGTCAATTCAAACTATTAACACTTTGATTAGCAATCAAGGGCTTAACCACTGTATGACCAGAAAATTTCCCTGAATAATGTGGCTAGCCTTCATCCACTCAGCCAAATACCTAAAGAGTAAAGGACTTCGTTTTCCACACATTAAGAAGTTCTGCTTCATGACAGTATTGTCAATACCTGCCTTAGTTTTGTAGACTATATGTTGGAAGACTTGTCAGCCTCTAGAGTTATCATTCTTATTACACGATATTTAGATCTATGTCTATATATTCATATCTGTGGGCGTACGCCAGGGATGCATCCTATCTCCATACCTTTTCAACCTATAAGCAGAAGAGATTATCCGGGAGGCTGGGCTCTATGAGGAGAAATGTGGGGTCAAGATTGGTGGA